AATAAATTAACGAAACAAATTATTTTTTAATATACTTAATATTATTATAATTATACTACTTATAATTATTTTTTTAATAATAAAAAAATTAAATAAAAAAATTATTTTTATCATACTTAATATTATTTTTAATTATACTACTTATGATATAAAAAATAATAACAAAAAATAAATTAACTAAACAAATTAATTTTAATTATACTTAATATTATTATAATTGTACTACTTATAATTATTTTTTAATAATAAAAAATAAATTAAATAAGCAAAATAATTTTAATTATACTTAATAGTATTTTTAATAATACTACTTATAATAAAAAAAATAATAACAATAAAAAAATAAATTAGCTAAACAAGTCATTTATAATTATACTTAATATTATTATAATTATACTACTTATAATTAATTTTTTAATAATAAAAAATAAATTAACTAAATAAATTATTGTGCATTATACTTAATATTAGTTTTCATTATACTACTTATGATTATTTTTTAATAATAAAAAGAGAAATTAACTAAATAAATTTCATTATACATAATATTATTAAAACTTTAATTATAAGTAGTCTATTAATTTCTAATTATTTTTCAGCCCCAAAAAAATTTAAAATTTTAATTTTCGCAACAAAAGTGTTTAAAATTGAAACTTGGAGGTGAACTTTGTTCACTTTGAAACAGTGGGGGACCAAAAGTGAAATCAGGCTAAACGTGAGGGATCAAAAGTGTAATTCTCCCCAAATAAGTAGTAACCACCAACAAGCACACATAGACGTGCATATGTGTGTCATTATGTGTAGATAATAATAATATGGTACCCGATGTATTTCATTGAGTGTAGCATCTACAAAATCGACCGATGCATAAGTTTGGGTTTGATTGTTTATTGGGCCAATTTGGGTGTGATTATGCAGTTGGACCAACTTCACCTCCTTTATTTTGGCACTAATCCATCACATTTCAAATTCACTACTCATGTAGATTAGACAAGATGTGGGTGGAAATTTTTTTCGAAGGCAAATAAAACACTTTTATTAAATAAACTTCTCCAGGTCATGAGGAAGAATAGAATCTTCCATCATATCTATTACATTTTGTTGAACAAGAGAGTGAGTTAAAGAATTTCCATCTCTTTTAACAAATGAAAGGAACAGGTAACAAAAGTTTTGCTAATCGACAAGCACTCAGAAATAATAGCCCCGAACGACTCCATACCATCTACTCCCCGATGAAGAGCATTTATCACCTCGAGACTATCACCTTCAATCATAATTTTTCTCCATCCTCGGTCAATAACTACCATCATGGCGTGTAAAGCTGCTCGGGCCTCTCCATCTGCTATCTTTGGTCTACCTTGAAGCTTACGAATGCTCCACCAGACACACTGGTTAGTATGATTCCGCACCACCATAGCCACTTGAAAGTATTTTTTTCCCTGAGGAAAACCTACATCAAAATTGATTTTGATAATTTCAGCCGGCGGCGGCGACCACTTGGAAGCGGCAGCTCTAGGTGTACCAGAATGAGCCTCACATATAGAAGCCCTACGATATTCGTCAAGAAAATTCGTACTGCATCCAACAATATCATTTTTCACACATTTTAATCCCTCGAATAATTCAACATTACGAAGATACCATATTCTCCAACATACTGTAGCAGCCAATTCAAAAGCCTCTCGACTTAGGTTTATATGAAGATAGCACAAGCCAGACACTAAAGTTGGGAAAATTAATGTTCGTATCTTGCAAATAGAATGGGAGATCTCCCCAAATGTCACTCATTTCACTACATTTCATAATGTGAAGCGTGGATTCATAATCAGCCCCGCATCTGTTGCACAAAGGGTTTGGAGCAATTTTTCTTCGAAACAATTCTATGTTCGTCGGTAGAATATCAGAGCAAGCTCGCCAGAGAAAAACTCGAACTTTTGGAGGTACTTTTGAATTCCATATAAATTTCCATTTTTTGTGGTGAAAACCACTGCCATTTGCTTTAGAAATTCGACCCATACAACCACTTGTAGCGATGATATTGTGATAGCATGATCGCACACTAAAATTTCCATTTTTGGAATAGTGCCAAACGTATTTATCCTCTGCTTCCAAACATCCCAGTGGAATTTTCATAATTCGTTCTCTATCCACCTCCCACATTAAATTATCAATCATTTGTGCATTCCAACCTTTGTTTGAAGTGCCATGAGGTCGAAAACCTTATCGGGAAAAGCAGTTTGTATCGGTCGCTTTGTGATAATACGGAATGCACCATCAGTTCGAAGTCAGGGTTCTCCCCATATTGCAGTATTTTCCCCATTACCAATCCTTTTTCTGTACTCCCGCAAGCAAATGAGGTTTCGCACTTATGATACACCTCCATGTAGCCGAAGGGCGATTTCCGAGAGTTGCTTTCGTAAAATCCGTAGTTGGGAAATACCTTGCTTTCAATATTTTTGAGCACAGTGAATCCGGTCGAGTTAGTAAACGCCATCCTTGCTTTGCAAGCAAGGCTAAGTTGAAACTGTGAAGATCCCTGAAGCCAATCCCCCCCTCATTTTTCGAGTAACACAATCTTTTCCAAGAAATCCATGCAAGTTTTCTTGTCGAACCATCTATGCCCCACCAGAATCTCCTAATAGCAGATTCAATATCTCGGTATAGATTGAAGAACTGATTTGATCAAAACTTCTTTCCCGGCCTTGGAAAGTTGTTTCTCTCCCCATCCCTTTATTTTTGCCCACGTGCGTTCTCGAAAGAAACTAAAGATCTATTTTTTAGATCGTCCCAATGTTGCAGGCATTCCCAGATATTTACCCTGATTCGTTACAACCCGAAAACCCAACCTTGCTGCTAATCTCCTTCTATTCTCATTCGATGTTCCAGGGCTAAAAGAAACAGTACATTTATCCATGTTAAGAATTTGCCCGGAAATAATTGAGTATTTGTATAAGACCTCTTTTAAGACCATTGCCTCCTCCTCTGTAGCTCGGGAAAAAATCAAAGTGTCATCTGCAAAGCACAAATTAGATACTACAGGAGCGTTGGGTGCCACACGGACTCCATGAATTCTTCCTATATTTTCGTCATAATTGATCATGTGAATAAGAATATCTGCACAAAAAAGAAAGAGATATGGAGACAAAGGATCTCCCTGACGGAGGCCTCGGGTCGGCTGGATAAAACCACATTGAGCACCATTCACCAACACAGAGTAAGTAACAGTATAGACACATTGCATTATCAATTCGACAAAATTAGTACAAAAACCAAAGCGAGTCAGCACTTTACGAAGGAAAACCCATTCGACTCGATCATATGCTTTACTAATATCCAGCTTAATGCCATAAAATTATTGTTTTTCTTGGACATAGTCTTAATGAAGTGATTAACCTCAAAAGCAATTAAAATATTATCGGTTATGAGTCGTTGAAGAACAAAAGCTGATTGAGTTGAGGAGATGAAAAGGTTTAAGATAGGCTTGATTCTATTTGTAATCATTTTCAAGCCAATCTTATAGACAACATTAGTAAGGCTAATAGGACGAAATTCGGTAATAAGTTTCGGCTGTTTTGTTTTTGGAATAAGCACAATGTGCGTAAAATTAAGGCTCTGGGGGTTCTTTTATTATTCAAGAAATCAAGGACACATCACGAGACATCAGGGCCGATAATGTGCCAGAATTTTTGATAAAATAACGCTGGCATACCATCAGGTCCCGGGGACTTAATCGGAGCCATTTGAGAAAGGGCAGAGGTTACCTCTGTTGCTGTAAAGGGTCGAGACAAAATCTGGTTATCCTCTTCTGATACTCTAGGACTTAGCGAGTCCAAAACCTCATCGATCTCCTCTGGATTAGGTCTATTGGATTGAAAAATATGCTGAAAATAGTTAGTCGCAATCTTCTCAACAGATTTTGGATCCTCCTTCCACCTTCCGTCTGCGTCCATTAACCCTTTAATCATGTTTTTTTGTTTTCGCATTGTTGCCTTAGCATGAAAAAATGCAGTGTTCCGATCGCCATCTCTAGCCCATTGCACCTTGCTCCTTTGTTTCCAATATAAATCCAACTCATTCAACAGCCCTTCCAACTCTGTACTTAAATTTTTTTCTTCAGCTCTACTATCAGCCGTTACACGTCCGCTTCGTAACACATTATTCTTGTATTTCAGTTACACGTTGCTTCGGCGCTCCTAATACCTCCTTACTCCATTTAATCAGCCCCAGCCGGCAAGCCTCAGTGCTATGAAATACTTTCGCCAGAGGGTCAGCACGGGTCAGCACCATTTTCGGCACACCAATTGTCTTCTATAATCTTCGCACATTCTTCATGTCGTATCCACACAGCCTCAAATCTAAATGGTTTTTTTTGCACGACTCCATTGCTTAGCAGGTCTACCATGAAGTTGAAGCCATATGGGAGTATGGGTTCAACCCGAAGAGAAATATGCTCGACACGAAAGTGGGGAAACAAAGATAACCAAGAGGTGTTTGCACATGCTCGATCCAGCCGACAACGGACAATATATGGAAATTGAAGGGCTCGGATTGCAATTACCACTCTTAGAAGAAGAAAAAAATGATTTGGTTTTTGAAAGTGAAAAAACTAATTTTATTTCCGTCAAAAATTTAGAAATCAGAATTCCAAAAATTGAATTTACAAAAAAAAAAAAATGTTCCAAAATCCGATTTTTTTTAATCGGAATCGGTAGAATCAGAAATTTCCATATTTCAGACACCTAAGATATAAAATGCATAATAATATTGATATTAGAGTTGTGGTACTCAAACAATTGGAATTTTTCAAAAATTCAAATAAAAATATCACATATATATTCCAAAAAATATCGGAAAAATCGTGATCCAAAATTTTGGAATTCAGAAAAATAATTCATGATCCAAAATTTCAGATCAGAATCGACGGAAATAAAAAAAAAAGGAAAAAGAAAAAAAAAAGACAAAAGATACATGAAACAGGACTCGCCTTACAAGAGGATCACTACAATATGAATACTTACAAAACATCAACAAGGTAACTTTTTAAACTTCACAAGAAGAGAGAATTCAAAAACACTACAAACTTCAAAGTTCCTACAAAAAAAAAAGAAAAAGAAAAAGAAAAACTCGGAACTACAAAACAAGCCACCTAAAAGCTCGTTTACCAAGACACGAAGCCAAAGGAACCAACAAACGCGCAATCCTAGGCAAAGTAGGGTACATCAAAGTACCAAGTATGAACCAGTTGAGGCACAATAGCAGGACAGCATCAGAAGCCGGTTTGTGCTCGATTCTCGTAAATAACCGCCGAACGCTTACCAATGAAATAGTCACGACGGTCAAAAGCGCCACTACCAAAGGCATGCATGGATCTTTAGATTCCCACACAATGATTCCAACAACAAGAGACAAAAAAGCGCTGAATAGGCTTCGCGATAGAGCCACGTCTCGTTGACCTTCCCGTACGTAACCCTCATCCGAAATCGAGAGCCCGTAAATTTCCGATCCAGCTTTTATTACATCGTGGATTTCTTCCTTGAACAGATCTTTCGCCACTTGGGTAATGTTTTTGTTGTTGTCGTTGTTGTTGTTGTGAGGTTTTCGAGATGATTTATTATAATTGGTTTCGGGGGTATTATAGTCATTTGCGGTACCAGCTCGGGCCCTATTGCTCCAAAGTGCTTTGCCTTGGACCTCGTTCAGCCGTTGAATTTCGCACTTCAAATCTTGAACCTGCCGCAATTAGAGACTGTTTCAATTTCATTTAGGGGGGTTGTGCGCTAAAAAAAGGTATCATAGGGGTTATTCCGCTAATATTTATAACATAAGGGTTTTTTAGCGAATTCAATATAACACAAGGGTACTAAATGCAAATGCAGTATACTCTTGTAATTCTTTACCTCCCCTTGTAGCAACTCGAGTTTAGCAATAGCTTCGTCGTGTTCTTCTTCGAGTTCGACTAACATCGATTCCATCATTTTACGTTCTTTGATGGCTAAAGCGAGCTTATCTTCTAGATCTTTCCTATCCCATATAACATTTTCCAATTCATTTCTCAGCCTTTGCAGTTGCATCTCTAGCTGAATATCGACTATTCCCAAATTAGTATATATACTTGAATATCGCAATACTTCTAAATTAAAAAAAAAAAAAATCTTGCACGAAAAATGTGTTTATTGCATTGATCGTATTTACTCTAATTGTTAAAAAACTTGGGGCAAATTACGGCCACCCCTATTTGGGTAATTGCAACCACCCCTCAGCTATTTATCATCTTACGAAAATACCCCTCTAGAGGTAAATTTAGGGATGTTAAACCACTAAAACCGAACCGAAATTTCGGTACACCAACATTTCATACCGTTTACAGAACTGAATATACGATTTGGTTCGGTAAATAACCAAATTACATAAAACTTATGTAAAAATATTTAAAAGGAGGGGGTGACTGTGATTACCCAAACAAGAGTTTTTTTTTCGTAATTTGACCATACCTCAGGTGTGGCCGTAATTTGCCCAAAAGCTTATCATGTTGAAAATATTAGCAATTAGCAAAATAGAGTGTTTGCTAATATTTATAACGCAGTGCGTTGTTTTAGCAATTTGATATAACACAGGGGTACTGAATGCTATAAGAGGAAAAAAGGACAACGGTTGTAGTAAAATTACCAGTCTTTCTCTATACAAAGCATTAAATGCTCGTATGGGGAGAGATAACGCCGCCATAGCCCAAATCGAGAGGCGCCAGAGTACGATTAAATGTAGCGATAGAGCGAATTTGAGAAGCTCGAGCCAAGTTTGTACAATAATGAAAAAACTCCTAGCTCCAATTTGACAAGATATTTTAGCTAGTAAGAGAGGCTTAAGAGCCAATCCTAGCATCGAAATCGCCAACTCGAACAACATAGCAAAACCCCCCAAATCCAAGAACTACACAATTGCCACCATTTTGTCTTTTTTGTTGTGCAAGAAAATCATCAAAGTATTGAGTCTGCAATATTAATATACAAAAAAATAAAATAAAACACCATTGATGAAATAGGGAGCTCACTATAATTAATAAGGCCTCAGTTTGACTGCCAAGATAGGATTAATTGACCAAAATAAACTTGCAATATAATTTTTTTTCCTTTTAATTATTTTTTTGAGAAATTCAAATCATGCTCTAAAAAAAATAGAGGTCAAATACTAACTCTCCTACTTATTTAATCTTCTGACTTATAATCTTGGTAACCAAACGAGGTTTAAGGATGGAATAAAAGAAGTTATCAAGAAATCAAGCAAGCCACTAAATCCAATCAATAATGTAGTAAAACACAATCGAATTAACCCGATTACGATCCGGGTTAACTGATAAGCACACATAAGCACACAAACAAGAGAGAGAGAGAGAGAGAGAGAGAGAGAGAGAGAGAGAGTTACCTGGGGTAAAATATGAGAGAGCTTTCAAAATAGAACAGAGCAGAGAGAGACGCTAGCTGGGGTTGATAGTAACACTCAGAAAAAATTGAAGTTTAAGAGAGAGAGAGAGAATGAGAGAGAGAAGTGGCGACACGTTTGGGTGCAAGAAAGTGACACGTGTGAGTAATGGGAAGAAAGAGGGGGCCGGGTTGGCAGTTGATAATACTTGCCACTTAAAAATTTCAGATGAGGATTGTTTATCTATCGGCCAACCAATTTTCATTTTTCTAAAGATTAAGACAACCTACGGTGAAGCTGCAGTTTGTGTACTGTGTACTACTTTTTTTTTTTTATCATTATTATAATCGGAGAGAAGAAGCGCCGCCCCGAGTCTCCGCCGCCAAATCAGTCAAACAGCCGTACGTGTGGATTTTATCTTAAAATCCTACTACACTTCCCAATGCCATTAATTGGAGCATTTATTCATAGCCATGTGGCACCATTTGCTCTTTTTCAGCTTTCTCCACCTCCACGTACCCAATTTTGTGTGTGTATTTTTTTCCTATTTTCAAATAATTTTATCCAAATTAAGTCTGGAATTGGAACAGAAAATATTCTAGAGCTTTTCCAATTCTATTCATTCCACCTCCATTTCTAATTCCAATTTAATTTATTGGGATTTCAAATACTAGTCTTTGGTTTCGAATTTTGAAATTTGATTTTTTTTTTTTTTTTTTTTTTTTTTTTTTTTTTGTGATGGTATTGGATTTTTTAGAATATAGCATATATTACGGATCCCCTGAGGTATGACTAAATTACGGAAAACCCATTTTGTTTGGGTAATTACATTCACCTTTCCTTTTAAATATTTTTACATAAAATTTATGTAATTCGGTTATTTACCGAACCAAATTGTATATTCAGTTCGGTAAACGGTATGAAATGTTGGCGTAGATAAATTTCGGTTCAATTTTACCAATTAAAATCATATTTAAAATCAATTCCGATGAATTTTAGCCCAATAAGCTAATTTGGCCTAAAATGATCTCCAAGAGAAGAGCGAGGCCCAAATAGGTTTATCGGAAAGATGGTTTTTTTTTTTTAACTAAAGAAAAAAGAAAGATTGTTTTCAACGCAATGAATTTACATATAATTTTTGGTGCTAATAAATAATAAATAATATTCGCACCAATTAAATTATATTCCTTCTAAATTAGAAATATATTTTATTTTTACATCTAAATGTAGCCTTCTTGGGTTTACATCTAAATGTAGCCTTATTGGGAGTAATTTGCATGCAAAGGTTTATTTACTCTACGCATTTTATGATTACTACATTTATTTTGAAATATTGAAAAGTATTTAATATTTAATATTTCATTAAAATTTTAAATAAAAATTAACAACATATTTGGTTAAGATAGCTTCATATCTAGGAAAAGAAGATGCCAAAACCTTCTCCAACAATTAGTGCTAAGAATCAATCAACATTTGCCTTACACAATTCTCTCTCAATTTATCACTTCACAATTCACACACACACACACACACTAAACAAATTAAAACCAAAATAATTATAAAAAAAAATATTATTAATATTAATAATAAAACATAAATAAATTATTTTAATTCCCAAATGTTCCAATTTCTACAGCACAACAAATGCCGAAGCCACTTTCCGGTCCACGTGACCACACAAACCCACTAATATGGTGCGCCGCCATCATCTGCGCCGCCGTCGCCGTGGCGGTGATAGTCGCCGGCGCCGTCGTGTTCATCGGCTACCTCGTCATCAAGCCGAGCGTGCCCCGTATCGGTGTCGCGAGCGCCGCCCTCGACGCCGTGTACTTCGACCAGACGAGCTCCCTCACCGTCCAAGTCACGGTCGTGGTTCGGGCCGAGAACGACAACCCGAAGGCCCGAGCCAGCTTCTCCGGCACCACATTGGGCCTGAGCTTCCGCGGCCAGAAGATAGCCTACCTGGTGGCGGGGGCGTTCGCCGTCGCCGCCAACAGCACGGTGGAGCTCAACTACGTGCCGCAGTCGACTCCGATCCCGCTGGACGCGGAGGACGCGGCGGCGGTGAGCTCGTCGCTGCGGCGGAGCGTGATGGACTTTGAGCTGAAAGGGACGACGAAGACTCGGTGGAGAATATGGCTTGTCGGCTCGGCTAAGTTCTGGCTGCATTTGGATTGTCGGCTCCATTTGCCTGTTAATGGGACTGTTGTATATCCACGGTGTAGCTCAAGGTCTAAATAAATATTTTTTATTTTTCTTTTTGGCCTTAATTTTAAACCCTAATTCATTAATTTTATTTATTTATTTATAATTCTATATAATTGGTTAACTTTTATGATTAACCCTAATAAGATTTAGTAAATATTACCCTTATTAATTAGTAAAATTTTTTTAATTCATTAGGGATTATGAGATTAAATTGAGAGATAAATTGAACAATTATTAGTATGACATGCATGTTTGTGAATCGGAGCTGCATGTATCCACCAGTATCCGGGCGATATCGAAGTTGGCTACTATTGCCGTGTTTACTAGAGTATCCGTGCGCGCGGCTGATTATTTTGAATTTGATGCAAACTATTTAAATTTGCTATTGAACCGACTCGAAACTAGGGTTAGGACTGTGCTCGAGAGAGCCGGAATTTTTCGCCCTTCAGACCGTTGATTAATGATACTATCCAACAATATTATTATTGGTATTTAGTATTTAATTTATTTAAAATTATTTATATAGCTACCAATAAGATTTATGTATTAGAAATTAGAATCGTATCATTGAGCACTTAAATATTAAGAATCATGACCATACACTTACATTATTTGAAGCAATTTGTATGATTATAATTAATATCATTAATTCTTTGCTAATTAGTAAAATAATTTTAATGCTTTTTCAATAAGGAAGTGAGGAAAAATAGTGGGGGAGTCGGCTTATATATCAAAAAGTGATTGCAATTGCAAATTTAATTTATAATCATTTTTGTAGTATATTTTACAAACATTTGTACGTAAATTCATACAATCGCAACTAGCAAAATTGTATTAATTTAGCAAAACATTAAATTATCGAGTTACTAATTAAGTATATTTTTACCAATTCATGACGGAAAAAAATTATTATTTAAGCGACATTATTACTTTATTGAAATTTTACTGTACTACAACAAATATATATAATTGGAGATTCTAAAGTACTCTTAAATCTTAAGTACGTACCAACAATATTGATATTATAGAAGGTGAAGTGACAATTAGTTTCATAAAAAACTAAAAAGTCGACAAGTAGAATCTATAATTGTACAAGTTGACAATTATATATAACTATATTCATGCACTAGATATATTTCGTTCATATATATAATTAATTGTGACAAGTTGACAATTATATATAAATATATACATGCACTAGATATATTTGGTACATATATACAATTGTTACAAGTGGACAATTGTTTGGACAACAAATTAGGCAAGTTGATGATTCTAATTGCATACTTATGTACTTCCACATTCCTCGGATCCAGATTCCACACATGTTTCTATCCAATCGGAAATAAATTGACCAACCCTTATTTTTTTTGACCAACCCTTATTTACATCCGATTCATTCTCGATATATTAGATTCTACATCCGATGAAATATATTATATAGTTTTAAATCGAAAATCTACATAGATAGCTACTGATCAGTAAACACACATACACATGGGTGTGTGTTATTACGTGTAGATCAGTGGTGTAAAATTACTTGGTGTAAGTTTTTGCAAAACCTCTTGTATCTCAACTAATTAATGACATCTTTTTTGAATGACAACAAGTATACCTAGAAAATGCTAAATTAAATCAATTGGTAATATATATAACCAAAACATTTGATTAATTATTTCAATTTCTTACTACCCAATGTGCTCATAAGCTTTTTGTGTAAAAAAAAAATGAAATTGACTATTGTATGCATGAGTTCATAAAAAATATAATGGTGAGATGGAGCTCCTCCAAGATAGATACCATTTAGATTATTTATTCGAGATCGCTACATTAATCGCAAGTAAGTTTGATCGATTTTTTTTAGGGATAGTTAAGTTATGAAAATCTCCAGGAAAAATATCGAACTGAACGCTAATTGAGAACGCTTGCAGATTTTTTTGATGCAACCTCATTATACGAAGATGAATATGCAAAGTCGGAGTCATGATTTTATCTTCGAGGGGGCCAAATATACACCCCAAAAAAATTCTAAATTGGGGGCCGGAATTTAATGCTATCCTACATAAAAAGTTACAAATTTATATATAAAGTGCTACGTATTTTTAAAATGACGGGGCCACAACCCCTTACGTTACCCTTACACTAGCTCAGCCACTGTGAGTATATAAATACAGTTAAACTCTACAAATTAATACAGTCAGCGCGCGCACTAGCAAAATTCTATTAATTTATAGCAAAATATTAAATTATCGAATTAAAATTTTAGTAGGTTTTACCGAGTCGGGACCAGAAAAAACTATTATTTAAGCGAGGTTATTAATTTATCGAGTATTATATTATCGAGGTTCTGCTATATAGTACTAGATTATGAGTTTTTTTATGGATTAGGGGTTGAGAGGTTCCATAATTAATTCATCCATTAATTAAATAGTTGGTCCAAGTTTATTAACATATAAAATGAAGCGTGGACAGCACCCATCGGTTCTTCTTTTCCCATTTAATAATTTATTAATTAGTGGCAACTTGCTCATACTATATTTATTATTCCACGTAACTATGTATTGTCCATTCAATTTTAATTTGTTATTTTTTAAATGAAAAATTAAGAAATTTGTTCCTATAGTACGGGTGGAGTAATGCTCGATTTTGATGATCGGTTGGCCTCGAGAATCAATATTTAACAACTATCGTCCCGTAAGGGATGACTCAGTGTGTGGAGCAAGTGAGTCTGTGTCAACTGATCTAGATTTGAATTAATTTCATTGCCAACAATCGCTAGCTGAAACTTGTCTCTCGTATACTCCCTTTGTTCCATATTATCTGTCTCTTTTGAGAATTTTTTTTGTTCCGTATTATCTGTCACTTTACAATTTCAATGTTGCATTAATTGCTTATTTTTTAATTTTACCCTTATTAATTCTATACTACTCTTCATGCATTAATTAATAAACAAGGGTACTTTGGTCCATCAATATCTATTTTCTTAAAATCAAGACATATTTACTGAGATTCTTAAGATTTGTGCCAAGGTGAAAAACGACACATATTTAGAAACGGTAGTTTACAAGCTATAAATTATATGAACGTGTATGTTTATCCGTTGCACCTATACATGTAGTTGGTTGCAGATTCTATCGTTGCCTAAAAAACTTTTAAACAACTATGAATTAGTAGGGGGGAAAAAAGGATTTATTGCAATAAACACTTAAAAAACGATGATTAAGGTACATAATTATAATTAATTGTTATTATTGTTCTTTTTATTTATACTAGTTATTAATATATAATATTTATATATACTAAAAAGAATGAAACATGAAAAGCTCACAAGCCATTTGCGTTAATTATTTAATATTATTCACAATTATGCTCGAAAGTTTATAAACAACTAAAAATAAGCTTGAGTTAACGTGTGTGTGTGTATATATATATATATATATATATATATATATATATATATATATATATATATATATATATATATATATATATATATATATATATATATATATATATATATATATATATATATATATATATATATATATATATATATGATATCCTAAAGCTAATCACGTGTATAAATTAGTTGGCACTAATAAAGTTTAATGCATAATTAAGTAGACGCTTAAAAGTGGGAGTGGAGGAAAGTGACAGTCTAATACTTGCATTTTAGTAATCAAAAGAGGCTTATGAAAATGTATTCTTTTTTCAATGGCCTTTCACTACTACACGTAGAAGAGAGTGGTGGTTTTCTGTCTTTTCTTTCCATTTTTTCTATTATATTTCGAAACAGAAATCGAAAACCCGAAAATCGCTAAACCCCTAAACTCGAAACAGAAACCCGAAAACTCGAAACCGAAATCTGAAAACCCTAAAACCGAAACCTGAAACTGAAGCCGAGTTTAATATTTCACTTACAATAATATCCCTAGACTATGAATGCTTACAAAATTAAAGGGGCAAATCACGAGTGAAAATATCACCAATCTCAATATTTAATGGAGACAAATTTTGAATATCTAAATCAAGAAAACTATATCGCTTAAATATTAAATGATTGATACAAATTTTAATCCCCTAAAAGTTGATGCAAAACCATATATATATATATATATATATATATATATATATTATACATATATATTAATCTTTGTAAAGCTAAGATGTAGGAGATATAAGGTTAAAAGATATTTGGCGAGAGACTAAATATATCTAAGTGGGGTTTGATCTCTTCATCACTATTTTATATATTAAAAAAAAAAAGGAATTTTGCAATAGAAAAATAACTTCTATCTCTTTCATTGGGATTTTACACACAAAGAAATACATTAATGGGTGATGTTACACCAGGTGATTTTTAATCATTGACGTGGTGAGATAACTTCATCTTAAGCACACATACACATTAATGGGTGTGTGCGTGGTGATGCATGTGCAGATTAACAGTTAATAATCACCCGTTGTATTTCAACGAATGTAACATCAAATAAACCATATTTGATAATACGAAACGCGTGTAATACACCGAGTAATATAATTATTAACCGTTGATGTGGTGAAATAACTTATCACTAAGTACACATACATGTGTGTGATTGTGTGCAGATCGACGATTAATAATCACGCGATGTAACATCAAACAAACTGTGTTTTTTTCTGACATGGGGATTGGGCAGCCATACAAAAGAGAATATATTTACACTGTTCTATAGGACCCCAATTAACCTAATTGTGATAAGATTCAGGTTTTAGGATTTCCTTAAACGCAAAAGCTTCTGGATGTTGACTGAAAATATATTCTAAATCGAACCAATTTTTATTTATTAACTAATTAATTAATTAATTGATTAATTGTTGGTGATTAGACAAAAGTGAGGAATATTAAGGCCCTTTTTTCACATGAGTATGTCTGTCTTCTCTCTCTCTTTCACTTAACTGAAAAACTATTTATGCATTACACAATTAATATGTGAGAAACATTAATTAATTATGATGACATTAAATAATTAAAATCCCCCAATTTAGATAGA